TAGTGCAGGGAAGCAGATAAACATCAGGCCCTTCTGGTTTAGGAGAAACAATAGGAGAGTGCCCAGTGTGTTCTGGCTCTGTGGATAGCCCTCTGATCTGTGCGGTAGTGTCTTTCCTCTCACAGATTTCCCCTGCTCCACTCTGCTCTGCATATTTATTACAGATTGGGTTTTCCCTGATCTCTGCAATCCTCAGCTAGGAGGTGCTGGGGGATCCCAGTGTGAACCCACTGGCAAATGAGGCTAGCACACTGAATAACCCATGAACAGCATACCCACTGTATGTGGGAGAAATGAATGACACTTCTTTCGGTGTTAGGCAAGCCTCACTCTCCCCCTAGTCCTGCTGCTTACAGGCCCTAGAACCTGTATTTGATCATTCTCTTGCTTTGGGGGCTTGTGGAATCCCCAGGTTGCACATCTTGCTCACTGTGCCCAGTAGTAAGGTTAGAGTGCCTGTGAGCCTATACAATCAGTCAGGCCATCACTGAATGACTAGCTCCCGCCTTCAGTCCGATACTCTCCCAACATGCCATGTACACCAGGTTTGGGGTGGATGGTGAAATGCTGTGATCAAGGAGTGACCTGGTTTCCACATACACACTCCTAGACAACTGGATTTTCTTTTCATTTATCCTCCCATATCAGACTTTATTTTTTGCTTCTACCTCAGGGTGTCTGCTTTTCTCCATTATAATTCAGAGACACTTATCCTTGCTGTCACCCCCTAGCTAACTGTCTTCTCTCCCAGACATTTTCACTATTTTCTGATGAGAAATCTGATATCAGACTTATCTCTGTTCCTGTAAATTTCTATTTTTTCCACTTGCTACTTCTATCTTTTCAATACTTGTTTAAGCAATTTGATTATATGTGTTGATATACTGTACTATATTTCTTTGTTTCTTGATCTCGAGGTTCACTGAAATTCTACCTCTGTGGATCTATTCTTTTCATCTAATTTGGAAAATTCTAACTATTATTCATTCTAATTATTCAAACATGCTTCTATTTCCTTTCTTTGGAGTATTTAATTACAAAAATTCTAGGCCATATGAGCTTCACATGCATTTCACTGATATTCTGTTCATCTTATTCCAATTATTCTATTTATGCTTCATGTTGGATACTTCTATTGCTTGTCTTTGGGTATTATAGCAATCTTCATTCTGACTATCTTATCTGTACTAATCACATTCAATGCCCTTTTCACCTCAGATATATTTTTATAAGTTCTATTGGTCTTTGTTTAGTATTTATTATAATTGTACTTAACATGCTTAATAGTTCATCACTACTTAAAATATGGAATATTGTATACTTATAATAATCATTTCAATATCCTTGTCTAAAAAGGTATTTCATTTCTAGGTTGGGTTTAGTTAACAGATGTTCCATTCTTATAATGGATCATATTTTCCTGCTTCTTTGCATGCATATTAATTTTTGATTGGATAAAAACTGCTGTATGGGGTACTGGGTTTTTTTGTATTTTTATAAAAATTTTTATCTTTTTTCTGGAAATTGGTTGATCAAAAAGTATTGATTCACCCGGTCATATGTGAGTATTCAGTAACTCAGATTGGTGTAGCATATACGTAGTTTAGGGCTAACCTTTCCACACAGGGGAAGCAAAATCCCTTCTGGATACACTCCCTGATGACCAATGAATAATGAGATTTTCCACTTTAGCTTTTCAAAAAGGAAAGCAATTCCCAGCATTAAATTTAACCTATTATTGAGAATCAGATTTAATATAAAAGGCCCAAACACATAAGTCTCAGACTGTATTAAACAGAAATACCTAAGAATGTATCATTTCTAACAAAAACACTCTAAATATGACATAGATATCTTAAAGAACATAAAAATTGATCTATAATAAAAATACTAATCAAAATCAATTTTTGGAGAAAATTTCCTTTTTTTTTTTTTGTACTGGGGATTGAACTTGAGTCCTTGCACTTGCGAGGCAGGCGGCAGCACCATTGAGCTAAATCCTTGGCCCAGGAGAAAATTTCAATCACTAAATTTTTATGTTAGGAAAAAAGTTATCAGCTCAATTATCTAGCTTTACCCTTACTACTACAAAGAGAGGAAGTGCTAAGAAAACAGAAAGAAGAAAAATTAAAATAAGAAAAATATTGATATATATATATATATAATGCCCAACAATAGAAAAATCAATGAAACAAAAAGTTGCTCACAGGGTCAATAAAAACTAAGAAGTTTCTCACAAGACTAATTAAAATAGAAAATACAAATTATTAATATTTAATATAAAAGAGTGGTTATTACAAAGAACATATACATCACCTTTACATCTTGGCTGAAATAGATAAATTTCTTGTAAAACACAAACTATCATACTTACTCAAGGAAAACTAGGCAACTTGAATAATCCCATATGTTTGTTTTTGTTTTTGTTTTTGGTATCAGAGATTGGACCAGGACCTTGGCACTTGCAAGGCAGGCAGTGACACCACTAAGCTAAATCCCTGGCCCTTCATATCTACTTTTAAAAAGTGAATTTGCAGCCAGGCGTGGTGTTGCACACCTGTAATCCCAGCATTCGGGAAGCTGAGGCAGGAGGATCGCTGTGAGTTTGAGACCAGCCTGGGCTACATAGTGAATTCCAGGTCAGTCTCAACTACATAGTAAGACCCTGTCTCAAAAAAACAAATAAAACAAAAAAAAAAGTGAATTTGCAGTTTCTCCCAAAGAAAAACCCATGCAAGATGTCTTCTTTTATGAACTCCATCAAACATTAAAAGAATAAACAACATTCATCCCCAGTACCAAAAAAAAGAATAAATAGCATATATTTTAAACAAACACTTCCTAAAAAGTGAAGGAAATATTTCAACTATTAAAATTGGTAAGAAAACTACAGATCAGTAGTCCCATTGAATAAGTACAAAATTACTTTAAAAAATTTGAGCACACTGAATCCAACAATACATCAAACAGGTAATATCTCATGAGCAAGGAGGATTCACTCAAGAATTGCAAGTGTGGTTTGCCACTTGAACATCAATCTATATAATCAACAATGTTAAATTAAAACAAACAATAATTATTAATCATGTTAATATATACAGAATAGTATCTGAAAAAATTACACATCTGTTTGTGATTTTCTAAAACCTATCAACTCACTAGAAACAGAAGGGAATGTCCTCAAGTTAACAGAGACATCTAATAAAAAAACAACAGCTGACATCACACACAAGGGTAAAGAATAAATACTTTCCAAGTAAAACTAATGACCATGTTCAATAATTCTATTCTATGTTACATTGTACTTTCTAATGAATGCAATATATACAAATCACATGATTTCAAAAGGGAAAATCCTATTTATTGATAAGGAACTTAATATTCTTAAGAGGATTATTTCTACAACAGTTATTACTAATGGTAATTAGTAGTAATTAATGGTATTCTAATGGTAAAATTTAACAAGGAAGCCCTTGTTACACTCACTCACTGTGTATTAGTTGCAGTCACCAAATCAACAATTTGATCCATTTTATTTCTTTCTGTCAGGGTGTCATGGCTTTTGGGCCCTCTCAACAAACAAATATAGCAATCCTGTATATGTATGCACATTAACTCACTAATACACACATATTTATATTTACATCCATTCATGTATTAAAATAAACATAACCTCATGTGTCAGCTGTCATCCAGCACCAAAGCATTCATTATATCTCTAACCCCTTGCTAATTTTAACTTCCTTCTCCAATGATAAACTTACCTCCTATTAAATATACTTCACTTATTTATTCCAGTCCATTATATATGTATTGTTAGATTTATAAACCTGTAACTTGGAAGAACAAATTTACCACAAAATATAGTGTTCTTACGTGCAAGTATTTCCCTTTCTTTAACCTTTCTACAGTGAAAACAATAGTTCCAAATTTAAAGTATTTTTGAGGTTATAACATTTGAGTATTTGTGAGCTTATAACATTTGTAATACAATTAAGATTCATTTGTCACAATTTGTATTCCATCCTTAGATTCCCCCAACATCCTGATGGACTTGTCTTAAAATGTATCTACAGTAAAGTTTATTCTCTGTGGTAAACAGTATGGATTTGTTTTGTACTTGTGATGTTGGGGATCAACATAGGGCTTCCCACATACTAGCCAAGTGGTTTCCAATGAGTAATAGCCCCAGAATACAATACAGATTTTGACAGATTCACAGAGTGTTATATCGACAATATCAGTGCCATACAGAAGAATTCCACAACATCATATTTTCATTGTGATGCCTCTTAAAATCAATACCTGTCCCTACTTCTGGCAAATAACTGACCTGTTTTCTACCTCCATAATTTCATGTTTTCAGAATGTGTTATGAATGAAATAATAGAACCTGTAGGCTTTGAATCAAGCTTCCTCCATTATCCAAAATACTTTAAAAGTCATCCATGTTACTCCGTAAATCAATAGTTTGACCTGATTTATTGCTTTTTACCTATTTCACAGTTTTTGGAGCAGGTATTATTGCACTGTGCACCACATTCTCTTCTTTCATCTATCCTCAATCCTTCATATTGTCAGTGTCTCTTGTAAAAATTCTGCAATATCTCTACTTTTCTACCTGAGGGTTTTCCCTGGTGCCAGGAAAGCTATTGATCAGACATGTTAGCACAGCTCAGAAGTACAATGGCGTTCATATACCCAGGGCTATTATTCAACCAATGGAAAAAAGAGGAAGTAAATAAATGCCACAGTTTCCCACTACATAAGTCTGAGGAGCATTCAACATGGTTAGTGATCAATGGTACCTTTCAAGATAAGGTCAGCTGTCTCCATCATAGATGCTAGAGACAGTATTCTTATACTTACCATGAAGTTTCACTGGATATACCAAATTGCATAAGAATGTTAATACACTACAATGATATGAACAATAAAATATAATAACTTGGTTCACACTCAAGCAGAAAGTGAAATCGTTTTCATCAGATTTTTATTACCTGGACACTGGATAAAGGACCATTCATAGTTCTTTTCTTTAGGGCAGAGATTAGTGTCAAGAATCATCTCGTTGTTGTGTATTCCAACAAGTTTCATTGGTCCCCGTGAAGACCCTTCAATGCAGCGTCCTCTTCCTGTATTACTAGGATCATTGCACCAGCCACATCCAGGCTGTTCCAAACATTGTCCACATGTTCTCAATCCAGAACAATTCTGAGCTGCATAACATGAACATTAAAAATGTTATATGACTTTATATCAAATAGAATTGTAGGCTAAATATAAGTATGACTACAGAAACAATAATATAATTATGAAAAGGTCAATAAAATATGTTACAGTAGTTTGTGTAAATATTTCCATATTAATACCAAAGACAAAGGAATTATTTAAAGTACATAAAAGAAGAGATAAATAAATTGACTAGGGTGTTTTTTTAAAAGGGGTGTGGTAACTATGATATGGAGAAAAATGGAGTTAGTGCTTAAAGACTCCCAAGAACCTTTCCAGCACTAGCACTTTCGGGACCCAGGGTCCTAACAAGCTGTAATACTGAGCTGTTTACCATTCTTGTATACAGTACAGGTCTTCAACCGAAAGACTGCCTGCGGGTAGCCAATGGAAGTTAAAGCTGCCTATTCCCTAAGACTCCTGACCCTACTGTGGACTCCCTCTTGGGGGTAATGATTTCCTCAAGGGGCCAAGATACTACTATCTGTCTATTATGTGAGACATAAATTGAATTTCACCTCAAGAATACACTAAGAACATAGGTGCCTGCTATTTTCCTTCAATCAGACAACCTGATGTACCCACTCTTGCTAACTTTCAAGGCTAAAGAATATCGTTGTAAAACTAATTCAATGAAGCTCAACTTTTATTTTTTTTTGGATTAAGACACAACATAAGAGACTCACCGTAGCCTATGAATACTGTTATATCATCCAAGGATAAAGAAATATAAGAGTCTGACATCATATTCATAGTTATTGCTAAATAATACTATTAATTTTTAATCAGATCACCCTATATTGGGCTGAGATTTTCTATAATACTTTTAGTTTGTTACCTATGGCACATTTTGTTTAGGTAACTGTCTATTCACAGGAAATAGCAACAGATATATAAAGAACTGTAAATGATGTCTTTTATTCACATAGTAGAAAATCCCCAGAGGGGGAAAAATTGTAGATTTCTGGTAAATTCAATTCCATTGCTGTAGTGTTAATAACTCAGCTGCCACTCCATATTTAATATTACTGGAAGCAATAATGTTCCTCCTATTACTGTAAATAAAATGGCATGAGTTTCTTAGTGAACTTCAGGAACTCAATATACTAGGCTGCACAAGATAACACTATTAAAGAATTCATCAATGGTAATATTATTTGTTATGAATTCTTAGAATGTTGAGTAGCTGAGTGATTGGATATAAGAAGGTATCCTAGTACCATCTATTTCCTTAATAAAAGAAAAGGAATTATGTACTATGAGTCATCAAACACTAATAGGTAATGCTAACCTTGCCACACAATTAATTTATTGACATGAAGAGTCTTCCTTTGGAAATTTGAATTTTTCCCAATAGTCCACAATGGTAAATGATACATTTAAAAGATACTTAGAAAAACTGGACAATTATCCATTTAACCACCATCCTCCTTAGTTTCCTTGATTTGAAATATTTCTGCTATATCTGTGATTGTAATAAGTCCATTGTTTGCAAAACTACACAGGGTTGTTATACAATTAATAGTAAATAATGGAAAATATTGAATTATTTATATTATCTTGACATGGGAATTATTTACTATCATGAGATGGCTCGAGGCAAAATTTACTAGGTCTTTTCCTTAACAAATGTTGTTTTCTCATATGTTTACAGTCTAGTCTATTTCCTGGGAAAATAAATTTTATCTTAGAACTCTTTTTTTAAAGAAACATAATCCTTAAAATGTCTTTAAAATGCATTCTGAACAACTTAAAATTAAACTACTCTTAATACAATTAGAATATTCCTGCTAATTTTTTCTAAATAGCTGGAAAAATTTTAGGTTAAAAAATCCTGCAGATCAATAGAACAGAGAATTACAGAAACAACCCCAGGCACACTCACACTCAGCCATATGATCTTTAATAACAAGGCCAAAAAACATATGCTTAAGAACAGATAGCCTCTTTAACAAATGGTGTTGGAAAAAGGAGCTATATGCATGTAAATAATGAATATAGACCCATAGTTCTCACCATGTACTAAACTAAAATCAAAATGGATCAAATACCTAACTATTGGAAACAGAAACAGTCAGTTGAAAGACAAAATAGGTGAAATCCTTGAATATATAGGCACACAAAAGGACTTTCTGAACAGAAACCTAATTGCATAGGAAATAACACCAAGTATCAATAGATGGGGTTATATGATATTGAACAGCTTTGCATGGCAAGAGAAACAACCAACAGATTCACGAGACAACCTAAAGAATGGGAAAAATTGTTGCCAGCTATTCCTAAGACAGAGAACTACTATCAAGAATCTATAATGAACTCAAAAACTCATACTACCCCAAAATAAAAGACCCAATCAAAAAATGGCAAGTGAAATGATATACACTTCTAGGAAGAAGAAATACAAATAGCCATTAAGTAAATGAAAAAATTTTCAACATCTTTGGTCATCAGAAAAACACAAATTAAAACAACACTTATATTCCATATTACTCCAGAAAGAATGGTTATCATCAAGAAATCAAATAATAACAAAAAGATGGGAGGGCTGCAGGGAAAAAAGAAACTCTACAACCACTATGGAAATTACTATGGAAACTCCTTAAAAAATTAAAACTAGAAATTTCACTTGACCCAGCTATTCTTCCTCTAGGTATCTTTCCAAAAGAGTTAAAAGCACCAAATTACAGTGATATAGTCATATCCATGCAACTCAACTCATAATAGGTAAATATTTAAAGTGACCTATATGTCCATTGTCTTAGTTACTTTTCTCTCATTGCTAAGACAAAACACCAGAAACCTAAAGTTAAAGGAGGAACTTTATTTATTTGGTTTACAGTTCATAGAGGTTTTAGTCCAGAACTGGCTGCCTCCAAGGCAAGGTGGAAGAGGGGCAACAAGTCAAGGTGACAGAAGACAGCAAAAAGCAGCAAGAAACCTTAACAGTGTCTTTTGGCCCCTTTTATCTTATTCAGACTACTGGGCTTAGGGTGGTGCCAACCCAATCATTCATGTATAATCATTTAGTTATCACATGCCCTTATCCTATCAACACACACTCTAGATTTAGCCACCCATGAAAAAGAAAGCCTACCTCGTCCACATGAGGCTTTGGGTGAACATCTAAGCACAAGCCATAACAACATCTACCAACAGATAAATAGACAAACACACACACACTCACACACACACACACACACAATGGAGTACTACGTAGACATAAAGATAAATTTGAGTCAAATGCATCTCAAGCAATCTACCAACATAAATAGACAAACACACACACACACACACACACACACACACACACACACAATGGAGTACTACGTAGACATAAAGATAAATTTGAGTCAAATGCATCTCAAGCTCATAGTGTTAAGTGAAATAAATCAAAAAGCTTAAATATTGCACGGTTTCTCTTATATGAGAAACCCAAAGTATAAATAAAGAGAAAAATAAAAGATAGGTAATAGAAAACAAACAGATAGACATTTCATAAATGCACAGGAGAACAAGTGATGAAAGTAAGGGGGATTAGAGAAGAGGGGATGGAGGAATTACGATGTGTTAGGTACATGTACCAACTTCCCACAATAAAGGTAATCATTATGTATTGCAAACATGTACTGAGAAAAAGAATACTGGGTTTCTTGTACTGACTGAATGACAAATTATAAATCTTTTAGTTCTGTGTATTAGATTTTAGGTTTTAATAACAAGTTGCAAGATTTTATATTTAGTATAATATTTTAGTTTTTTGGTTTTCATTTTAGATATAAAACTATGAAGTAAGGCAATGTTGGTACGGTTTTTGCTCACAAGTGGAAAACAATATGCACTGATGAAAATCAACAGAAAACTAATTCTTTAGCATTTGAAAGTGACTCAAAAACTAAAATTCTAAGGTTTTCTTTCTCTTTTTATTACAGAAAACAATGTTACAGGAAAGCTTATATAGGTTATACATGATTCCCAAAGATATGGATGGTATAGAGACTATAAATGAACTAATAATCTTTGTAAATGTTAGTAACAATCTTTTTATTCTTTATTTGTATTTATTTTGAGGTTTTTGAAAGTCAAAATGCAAAATACTCAATTTTTAAAATTTATTTAAAAATTGAAAAATCAATCTGGAAGCAAGTATCAGCAAATCTAAAAATATTTCCCTATCTCAATTACCAAAAATGATGAGCTTTTAAATTGTGTGTATATAAAATCAACAAAATATTAAAAGAAATATAGTTTTATGATATGTGCAATATCATTAAGTTTCTTGTTATTCTATTTCAGTATATTAATTTAATTTTCATTCTACATATTAAGAACTAAATCTGTTATTACAGTACTTAATGTTCTTGGAACATCTAATTTAGTACATCAACTAAGTAGTTAGAATATTTATTTAAATATACCCAATTAATGATGCTATTAAAAAAGCGTTTTCAGAAATAATTATGAAAATGTTGTCTTAAAATATACTTCTCTTCTCTTATTGTGCATTTTACACATTTGTATCTCAATATTAAGACTGGAGAATATTGGAAAATTCATCTTTGTTTTTGCAAAGACACATTTCTCTTAAATTCCTTTCATGAAAAATTTCTCAAATGATCATTACAACTACTTCTCAATGCAACATAAAATACACCATTTCCAATACAAAGTTTTACTATTTGGCCATGTTGATGGACAGATCAAAGCTAAGCGCTCCTGGTCCCTCTAACCAAAAGCTAAGGTGCTTATAAATGAGGAATTGAAGAATAAAAATAAGTTTCATTTTATCTGTATTTTTTGGGATTTCAGCAAGTAAATATATGATTTCTTTGTTCAAATAAAGGATGGATGAACACAAACATGGACATCAATTCTATCTTAGGTGATTATATTGCTAACTGTGGTAGTAGAATGTTAACTCATGGGCTTCTGAAAAGAGCATTATTTTTAAAACCTCAAAATATTAAGTCTGGATCAATCACCAGAGGAGCGAGTCCAATGAGTAGAACATGAAATAATACATACAACACTGAGAACTGAGTGATAAAGTATCGAAGTAAATAACCTTTTCTATTTTCTCAATCCAAAGTTGAACAAATGAATTAATTCAAGACCTGCATGGAAAGCATATCATGAACCTCAATGTCAGAGACTGAGTTATGGAAACATAAGCTATATTCTCTGCTAAGAAACTAGCTCAAATCACTACTTTCTTCCTCCAAGCAGAAGGAGCTACACATAGTCTGAACTACCTACATAATAAAACCAGCAGTATTATGTAATTCCATTGGCAACTACATTTTGACGTAATTTGTCTTGGTAAGTGAGGCCACTCTTATAACCACAGTGTCTAGTACAAAAATCCATTCAGGAATATCTTCATCCTACAAAATATGAGACCAACAAGGAAAAGGAACTTTCTCTTGAGGAATAACTCACAACAAGTCCAGCATTGCCCTGCTGCCATGTCTCTCCATGACCACACTGTGTGTACTACATTTGCAGCAGTCAACATCAATACTATAATTTTGCAAAAAATATTGCCTGAATCTAACCACAAGGAAGCAAATAGAAAAATACTAATTAAGAAATCTACAAAACAATTAGTATTGATTCTTCAAAAATAGCAGTCATTAAATAAAAGACACGGGTTAAAGGAAACAACAAAGCAGCGCATGATCCTTGAGGTGAGCACTATCATGAAGTGGTACGCTATCCACAACTAACACCGAGAGTGCAGAGAAGGGGAGCAAAGTGTAGCAAAACATTAACACCTTAGGCAATATGCTTAGTGGAATTCAAGCTGATGACAGAGTACAAATCAGAAGCTGATAGCACTAATAGGTCTTAAACCTATCTGTAAGAATGTTTTCTCACGTTATTTGAAACTTCTCAAAGGTTCAATTCTTCCTTCCATCACAGAAGAGTAATTTACGTTACTGTTAAGTGAAAAGTCACTCCACACAAATACTTACGAGAGCAGGTGGCAGTTTGCCACTCTAGACACTGTCCATATGGAAATGATATTATGTAAGCATTAGAGTCAACACATCGCTTTGTACTACTGCACCACATACACTCCATGCCATTGCTTGTACAGTTGGAACACGAAGTCCTTAGAGAGCATGGCTTTTTGCAAGGCCTTGCATTTTGATTTGGACTAACTGGAAGAAATCAACAAATATAAAGATTTCATTTGTTAAACTATATTTTTACACATATGTATAAATATTATTTATTTTGTTATTCAGAGAATGTTTCAATTAAACCAAGTGTGCTAACAAAATATAATTAGGCATATGAAAACAAATATAACAGATCAATACTGCTTAAATTTATTATTAAACTTGAAAAATGCCTGTAAAATTTTGAATTATTTATAATTTGTATAGTTTTGAAAAAAAGGTTTTTTGGGGGGTCCTGGGGATCAAACTCGGGACCTTGCACTTGCAAGACAGTTGGCAGAACCACTTGAGCTAAATCCCCAGCCCCTAGTTTTGAAAACTTTAAATAGTTATATAATGTGTTCTATAGTTTTCTATAGAAATACCACCATTATTTCCTTTCCTGGCCATAATTTTTCCATCAACATTCCAAACATTGTCAACCATATCACCTATCAATAAACATGTCTCTGATATAAACAAACAATAACAATACAACTTACTATAAAATCTTTGTATAAAATACAATGTTTATCACATCCATTAGCATGACTACTGCTTTAAAAAGCATCTACAAAAAATAAAAATAACAAATGTTGGCAAATATGTAGAGAAATTGGAAACTATGCATTGCTGGTATAAATGTAAAATGATACAGGGGCTCTGTGGAAAATAGTGTGATGATTCCTCAAAAACTTACACACAAAATTATAACATTATTTAGTAATTCCACTTCTATGTACCCAAAAGAAATGAAATCAGAAATTTAAACAGATATCTGTATTTTCACATTCATAGCAGTATCAATAACAGTCAAAGCAGAAGTAACTCAAATGTCTTCTCATGAGCTGGGGATTTAGCTCAGTGGTTCCGCCACCTGCTCTGCAAGCACAGAGTCCTGAGTTCAATCCCCACTGCAAAAAAACAAAAAATAAAACAAATGTCTTCTCATGGATATATGAAAAAAACAAAATGTGGGAATATGGGCATGTGTACATACATATATAAAATTGCAAATAAAATTGCACGTACATTAGGTCCCTGACTTAAGAAAATTCAAGTTACAAACTTTCACAGATAAGAACAGGCCTCTCGTTACAAAAATTTGTAGTTGCAAACAAATCACAGAAATAGTTCACAGGTCTACCAGACATTGTCATAGTTGTGCTGCTATGTGCTTACTGTACAGTGCAAGAGTGGACAGTAGTACACTGCTCAATCAAAGCTCAGGATGTCTGGAAGCAAGAGGAAAGCAGGAGTGATGTGGAGGGGACCACTAGGAAATACAAAGCAATATACAGTGTATACTTGTGTCAAAGATGTATAAGATTCACTTTGTCAGACTTACGAATGAATCTCACTTATGAACAGTCTCCTGGAATGGAACTCGCTCAAAGTTAGGGACTTACTGTAAACATTTATATTTAAAGTTATATAGAAATATATAAGGATATATAAAACTTTCTATATATGATCAACTTTAAATAGTAAGAAAGTTATTACATATGCTACAACTTGGATGAACACTGAAGACATTATGCAAAGGGACTAAGCCAGTCACAAAAGAATAAAAATCATATGAGTCTACAATATGTATGAAGTATATAAAGCAGTTAAATTGAGACAGAATGAAATCATGGTTTCTAAGTGATGGTGGAAGATATTGTTGAATTGCAGAATTTTAGTTTTGTAAAATGAAGAAAGTTATGGAGATTAACAGTGATAATGATTGCACAATTGTGTGAATATACTAATGCCACTAAACTGTACCCTTCAAAATGATTAAAACAGTAAGTTCTACGTTATATATTTATACCACAATAAAATACTATATTATAAAAATAAGTAAATATTCTTTTCTCAATTAACCTAAGTCCACTTTAAAAGGTGTTATATAAGTACATTTTTTTTTTAAAGAACACCAGACAGACTCACTACCTCATCTTTGACAAAGAAGCCAACCATCCTCACTGGAGGAAAGATAGCCTCTTTAATAAATGGTGTTGGAAAAACTGGATTTCAACTTGCCAAAGATTAAAACTAGATCCCTATCTTTCACCATGTAGTAAACTAAAATCCAAGTGGATTAAAGATCTAAATATCAAAACAGAAACACTAAACTTACTGGAAAATAAATTAGGCAGAACTCTCGAAGATACTGGCATAGGAAAAGACTTTATGAACAAATACTAAGCAGCAGGAGAACGTGCACAAAGAATCAACAGCTGGGATCTCATTGTATTAAAAAGTTTTTGCAATGCAAGAGAAACCACCACCAGAGCTAAGAGACAACCTACATTGTGGGAAAAAATGTTTACCAGCTGCTCCTCAGACAAAGGATTACTATTTAGATTATATAAAGAACTCAAAAAAATCACACCCACCCAAATACAAAGATTCAAAAATGGGCATCTGAAATGAACAGACACTTCTCAGACTAGTAAGTAAAAGCAGCAAATAAATATAAGAAAAATGTTCAACATCACTGGTCATTCAAGAGATGCAGATGAAAACAACACTGAGATTCCATCTTACCCCAGGAAGAATGGTTGTTACCAAGAAATCAACCAATAACAAATGCTGGTGGGATTGTGGGGAGAAAGAAACCTTTCCTCTTTGGTGGGGGAAGTACAGACTGGTGCAACCACTGTGGAAATCAATATGGAGATACCGCAAAGAACTAGGATTAGAGGTCCCATTGACCCAGCTATCCCTCTGCTAGGTATCTTTCCAAATTAAAAGAATCATATCACAGTGATATACATGTACCCATGTTTATAGTGGCACAGTTTGTAATAGCTAAAACTTGGAAACAACCCAAATGCCCATCAACTGGAGACTGGATAAAAAAGATGTGGTTTTTCTATAAAATGGAGTACTACTCATCCACAAAGAATGAGAAACTAGAGACATTTATAGCTAAATGGATGCACATTGAGGCTATGCTCTTAAGTGAAATAAATAGGACACACTTGAGTAAATAGCAAATAGTTCTTCTGGTGTGAAAAACTAAAAGTGTAAATAAGGTTCAAATGGTATAACTGACAGTATGAAATAGGAAGAAAATGGCTAAAGGGGAAGTGGGAAGGGGATGGGAAAGGAAACAAGGGAAAAGAAAAAATGTGAAAAAAGGAAAAACTCGAAACAAAGTCTTTGTATATAGGGAAGGGTGAAGGGGGTGAAGGGAGAACAGGGGTATGGGGAAAAAATAAGAACCAAGAGATATCATATAAAGCAACAAGATTGTAATGATAAATGTAACTGTATTCTTTGCTTTGAATGGACCCATAAACTTAACAGGAAAAAAAAATACATCTTTTTTGACTTGACAAATTTAATAATAGATCTGTAAGATTACATCATGTCTCAGGCATTAATAGTAAAGACAATTCTTCTCAAGCAGTATCATGATGAAAATACAGGACATTAACAAATTAAAAACATTATTGCTACAGTGAACAACCATATGTTCATAAACAGTATTTTAATTAAAAATATGTCGTATAAAACTATAAATTTTCATTTTTACAAGTTAGGCTTAGAATCAAATAATAAGTGGGAAATGTAGATAAAAAATAATTATTAGGGGGTCAGTATCACAAAAAAGTGTTGTGAGTTACCTCAGACTACACCTTGGAAGGAGTTGGTAGCATGAGGGCTTAAAAACACATTTTTAAAGAAATGCTAATTTACTTTACTACTTACCAACAGGTTTTTCGCAGACAAGGCCATCTGCCATAGATGTACAAGGATTTGCTTTTAAGCCTGCTACTGCAGCCCTTTCTAGGTATGCACAGAACCCAGAATCATTTGGTTCACCAGGAAGCCACTGTAATGTTGTATTTGTGAAAGGAGACATGTCTTCCCATCCCCAGTAGGATATATTGATCTTGCGTAAGCCTACCCAAGGTGATACTTTCTATAAACAATAGAAAAAAGGAGGGGAGGAGAGAGGGAGGAAAACAAATTAACAACAGATAGAAGCCATATATTCGCCCCCATCCAATTTTGCACCCATGGATTCAGCTGCCTGGCCATGGCATCCTGCCAACTTTGAGACTGTTCTACATTTTATTTCCCCTCAAGACAAGGCAGTAGAGGCATCAACCAACTGACTAAATTGATTGTGGATGACATTAACACCCAGAAAGAAAAGACTTAGAAAGAGACTTCCAGAGAGTCAGCAGCACTGTGGAGAAATAACAGACTGCACCAGTGGTGTTAGCCACAAGAAAGTCCCACGGCTTATAGTAAAATACAAAAAAAAAGAAAAAAAAAAGGTGGATTTTATTCTGAAGGTGACTTCTTCAAGGAAGTCTAGAGTTTAAAAAAATCCACTGCAATGCTTGCCATATTGGAGAGGGTTTAACCAGGAGCCATTTGGGAATGAGCACCAAACAACTATACAACAACTTCATTTCAGGGTCTTTAGTATATCTCTTAACACAGTGACTAAGTGAGAAACAGCCACAAAAGATAGCTGGGGAAAGGGTACAGGCTAGACATAGAACCCCTGAGAAGTTCAGGCTCAAGCTGTAAAGGACGCCAGGCCCACCCTCCGTGGTGAGAAGCAACACCTGGAAAATGTGGCTTTCAGAAGAAGCTAGATCTAAAAGTCCTGGCATTTAATACGGTGGCCTACTATAACTCCTGCCCAACGTCTACATCCAGCAGAGACTAGTGATCTGATTGCTCTGTCCATCTACCAACATGAGCAATTCCTTGCTTATATGTATGAGTGCCACTCTGGAGTGTGCAGATAGAGAGGCCTCAGAAATAGAGGGTTCCTCACAAACCACACAGGCCATAAAGCTACGCAGAAAAAAATATGACCTGCTGGATTCAAAGACTAAAGATCCCGGAAAGTAACTCTTCACTCATTGGTGGAGACAGAAAGTAGTATGACCATTATGGAAATCAATATGGAGATTTAAAAAATGCATCTAGGAATTAAATTCAACCCAACTATTTCCCTTCCAGGTATCTTCCTGAAAGAGTTTAAAATATCATATCACAGTGATATGTGTATTCATAATTTATAGTATCACAAATCATAATAGCTAAATCTTTGAAGCACAATTTATGTTTATATGAGCAAAATAGCTCAATATTGGAAGCAGCCAATATAACCATCAACATATGAATGGGTAAATATAATGTGGTATTTATACACAATGGAGTCCCATTTTCCTGTAAAGAAGGATAACTCTAAGACATTTGTAGGAAAAAAGGATGCACCTTGAGATCAGGTAAATAAATTAGACATATGAGCTTAACTATCACATGGTTTCAGGCCGGGGATTTAGCACAGTGGTCTTTCTGTCTTGTCTCACGAGTGCACAAGGTCCCAAGTTCAATCCCCAGGACAAAAAAAAATATATTGTACAAGAGAAATCCAAAATATAAATAAAAAGCAAAGTAAAAAAGATAGATAATAGGAATAAAGGGATATAGACCTTTTGCCAAAGGGAAGGGGACCACAAAATGGACCAGCAGGAGGGGAAAAAGATCAAAAAAATAATTAAGATGTGGTATATACAGGTGTCAACTCCCCATGAGGAATATAATCATTATTACTGCAAATATGTGCTAGTAAAAGTAAAAAATTTTAAAGCACAATAAAAAGGCATTAAAAAGTTGATGCAAAATTAATGCATCATACTCATGAGCAAACAACTCATTATCATTACAAATTACATTTCAAATACATGGAACAACTTTTTTAGCACAAAGAGTAATTTAATAATTCTAGCCTATTTTGAAGAAAGACATAGAATATTTTTTAAAGCACATGTTTTGTGTTTAGCTACATGTATAAGGCCATTTATTCTGTGTAACTCTATTTTCTCTCCTATAGAATTGAGATATAAATGCCTAATTTAAATATCTAATTTATTAAAACAAATATTGCTACTGCTGCTTCTGTTACTATAACTGTCAAGTTAAAGACATAAGAGTCTAAAGATAAATTGTCATTATCTGCATTGTGCAAAATTACAAAACAAAATCAACAAACAATACGTGGAACTTAAGTGAAAACAATAACAGACCTTCACAAAAAAATAGGTTAAACAACTAGTCTCCCCTAGATCAGCCCTCTGCTATTATATTAAGACTTTTATGCAATTTTAGATAAACTAATAACATATTTTTGTTAATAAAAGGATCGAGAAAACTGATAAAATCTTTATGTGCTGAAAATTTAACAGGTTGACAAAAGCTACATAGCTATACTTAATGCACTAAAATTTAAAAATTAGCTTGAAATCAAAATCTATTCTATATGTATATATGTTATTTTAATCATCACTCAATTTTAAAATATGCTATTCTTAATCTTTAATAACAAAGAAATAAGATATTTATATTCAATATTTATTCTAATGTTCAACAAATGGTCCTAGAGACCTTAGCCATCCACCTAGAAATTTGCAATATGTATAATATAAACACAATGAATTTCACACAGTAAATATTCAGATTTTTCATAGATAAAATATGAATTCATTATGACAACAGGTTTCATATTGCCAATAAAGTACTGTATATATAATAATACATTTTGCTAAGCTAAATTCATTAGAATAAAAATTGTTATTTTACCACTCTAGCACAATGCTTAAAACAGTGATGATAATAAATAATATTTTTAATTGTAAGAATACATGCTCTGCATCTCATATATAATCCCCATATACATTTATACATTGTTCTTAAAGATATTTTGACAACAAAAAGTTGTAACATTTTTAAAGTTCTTGATTAAAGATATTTTGGTTTAACAATTGTGTTGCACATTATAGTGATTCTATCTCCTAACCATAGCAAAGACAAGTCATTTAAAATGAAATATTACTTCCTAACTCATCATGATAAGAATCTGAAAGAAAGAAAAGAGGAAAAAAATAAAGCAGCTGATAAAACATTTAGAGTAAGTATCACTCAGTAAATGAACCAGACAGGCAGTGGAAAATGAAAGATAAATTCCTATATTATGAAAATTTATGGCAGCATACCATAAATCATTGTAACATTTCATTAGTCATTTCCAATAAGTAAATGATCATTTGGTCCAAGATTATCACTTAAAAGTACATGAATTTATCGATCAGTATTTGCCAAAGAGGAGCTATCGTAACTTTATACAACTGCAATGACTCAGGACATAATTCATTTTATATAAAGATATGCCTAATGGAATGTCACTTTGCAGAAGTTTGCACTTTGAAATCCTGCTAAAAGCTCGTCATTCTGATGAAACAAAACATCCTTCATTTTATACAGCATGCTAGATAGGAAACTATGAAGTCTAAGTTCATCATACATCCAAAATAAATTTTAGTCTAATCTTTATCATTTATAATAGGCAAAAAAAAACTTAGCAACTAACGCAAAAATGTCTAAAATAACACACTTCAAGGTTTAACTGTGACAACTAAAAATAATATATTTTAAACAAAAAACAGTTTTACTAGTACTAAGACTTAGAAAATGTGGATATGCAAACAAACTCTTTACAAGTGATAGATTTTTAATACAACTGATTTTCACATGTTAATAAGTATTCATTCCTAATTTTGTAATGAAATAACACTCCTAATATAATGAGAATATAAACACATCTTAATTTATATTGTTTGTTTCATATGCTAAAAAATAAAACTTTAGGGCCCGGGGATTTAGCTCAGTGGTTCCGCTGCCTGCCTAGCAAACTCAAGGTCCCCAGTTCGATCCCTGGTACCAAATAAATAAACCAAAACTTTATAAAAATACTCTTGTCTCATCTTCCTAAAATATAAAACTCAATAGGCTTTCCCTACATGCTATCTTCTAGCCATAAAATGCTATCTCTCAAACAAGACCCAAAAAAAGATAGAATTTTTTCTGGCCTCCTTAGAAATACCTTTAAGCACTTGGTCAGCCCTAAATCCTGCAAAATTTGGCTATTTTTAAGGAAGGTTTCCTGAAGTACATATTGTTGATTAAATGTTCACCTTCTACCTATCTTCACATATCATCCTTTTATATATATACCTTATTGCAAATATCACAGTTTAGCATTATTGTATTTGTATCTCTTTCCAATAAACTATATGAGAACAATGGATGTCTTCTGATTTCTGTATTCTCAGCAAGAAGTAAATTGCCAAGTCTACTAAAGGTATTCAGTAAATATGTCCTAAATACTGGTCTATTCTTAGAGAGAAAAATATTGAGAGCTCATACATACAAAAAGGTTTTATGGATCAATTGTTCATAAAACTTAATTATTTTTTCTTTATCCTATTAGTCCCAGCCATAGACCTGTTATAAATCCAACAAGTATCATATTGTGAGATCCAGTTCAAAATAACTGAACATTTTTAAAGAGCCAAACAATATAATTATTAATATTAGTAATGGGGGACACATCTCTGGCTCTACAGAAAGAAACTGGCATTAGAAATTAGATTATCCATTACTGGTATTTATGAGAGCTTTGCATGCTAGTATCACCATAAAAATTAGAGTCTGCAGAAAATTGAATGCCCACATAAAATTTAATTATTCCTCATAGAAAAATTAGAACACTAGAGGGGGAAATAGTTTTCTACAATCAGTGAAAATATTAGCTATCCATCAAAACTTTCATCTAGTTACCTTGTAATTCATAAAATAATGACTCCCAGAAATAACAGCAGTGCTATTATAAGAAATAATCTATAAGTAGAAATAGTAGTGATAATCACAGTAAATACAAAAAATAAAAGGTGTGTATACTATTTACATGTAATATCTCATTTACTGCTTACAATCAAGTTTTCAAATTAAAAGTAATACAGGACAAGAAGGTTAAACTACTACTAACTTGTAGAAATAAGTGGCATGCCCTGATTATATGTTTTCCATCACTGTGATACACTATCTACATTACTCCTTAAAAATCAGCCATACCAAAAAGCATTACTTAAGTATTTCTGCAGTAACTGCTAAAAATTCTCAAAAACTTCAAGTCAAAATCTCTACCATTTTATACAGTGTAGACTTATCACAATGAAATTAGGTACACATGCTTTTCAGAGTATTTATTCCTCTAAAATGACTTCATAATGGCTTACTATGCAAAACATGAGATAAACAACATATCACTAAATATATCTACAAAATGAGTCCTCTGTCAGTTTACTTTTTTATACTGGGAATGAAACTCAGGACCTTAAGCTTGCAAAGCAGGCATGGTGCAGCAGAGCTAAATCCCCTGGTCTGCCAGTTTACTCTTCAAATCAGTTCCACTTTTATTTCTAAGACTTAGTAAGAATATATTTTAAAAACAAAAAGGAATGATTCACTTGCAAAAATTATGGGATTATCAAACCATATTCCCATAATATAAACAAGTATAGATGTTACCTGCTGTGTATACTTCTGTATTTCATCCAGAACAAATTCTACTTCTTTTGAAGTTGTTAATGAAGCAAGATTTCCACTAAGATTATAGCAATAAAGTTTTGCATTGTCATAGCTTTCTCTACTAGAATTGATTCTAAGACAAGCATCCCCGATATGACTCCATCCTTCTCCACAAAGATGAGCTAAACAAAGAGAAAAAAGTGTCTTATTTTTAGATTATAAAAAATATGTATTTATCAATTATTTCAGAATGAAAATATAGCTTTTATATTAACTTAAACAATTTTTAAATAAAACATTTTAACTATCTAAATATCCCAAATAAAAGTTGCCTAATATTTTGGTAGATAATGAAAAACAGAAAATCCTAAATTTTTCCTGAATTACTAAATAAGATAAACTATGCCTCTACAAAATCTGCTAAAATGTATTGACTATTTGCTAGGTTTTCTGTATAAGTCTACTTTATTGGCATATTCCAAGCTTATGTCTCAGGGCCCAGTTTACAAAAGCCAAGATCACTTTAGACAAAAACAACCAGTACATAATAAAAGCAATTTCAAAGTTATTCTTACATGTGAGGCTAACTGGCCTCCAAATCTAATTTCTGTAACCCAGGTGTAATGTTGTGACTTAAGATGAGTTCTTTGACCCTTCTCCATTGTGCATACTGGTGCAACCTCTATGGAAATCAACATGGAGATGCAAAGAGCTGAGACTAGAGGCTCCATTTGACCCAGCCATTCCTCTGCTGGGTATCTTTACAAAAGAATTAAAAGAATCATATCACAGTGATATATGTGCACTTATGTTTATAGCGGCACAGTTTGTAAGAGCTAAAACTTGAAAACAGCCCATTTGGCCATCAGTTGGAGACTCGATAAAGAAGATGATCTGGTTTTCTATTAAATGGAATAGTACTCAGGCATAAAGAATGAGAAATTAGACTCATTCATAGGAAAATGGATACATATTGAGGATATACTGTTTTTTTGAGACAGGGTCTCACTATGTAGTTGAGACTGACCTGGAACTCACTATGTAGCCCAGGCTGGTCTCGAACTCAGCAATCCTCCAGCCTCAGCCTCCCGAGTGCTGGGATTACAGGTGTGAGCCACCACGCCTGGCTGAGGATATACTCTTAAGTGAAATAAATAAGTCACACATATATAAATACCGAATAGTTTTTCTGGTGTGAAAAACTATAATGGTACAGAAGATCCTAATGATATAACTGACAATATGAAATAGGAAGAAAAGGGCTAAAGGTGTAGGGGAATTGGGAAGGGTAGGGGAAAGGTAATAAGGGAAAAGAAAAAAAATGAGAAAATGAAAAAAATGGAAATAAAGTACTTGTAAATATGGAAGGCAGGGATAAGGGGAAAAAATAGAACCAAGACCTGTCATGTAAAGGTACAAGATCCCAATGATGAATGTAACTGTACTGTATACCTAAAACGTACCAATAAACTCAATGAGGAAAAAAAAGATAGAGCATCTCATTTACATATTCTTAGTAGTTTATCCACAGAATCCAAATCGAACAGTACACAGTATTGTTGTCTAAAATACAGGTTTAAATATAATGTTATGCCTTAGTGTGTACTATCTTACACGTTTCCTGAAAATATTGATCTACACACCTAAACTGTATGTTAGTCTATCACACTAAACCTATCAGTGCCCCTTGCTAGATATAAAAGTCCTTAAATGGATTAGTGCAACCCTTATGAAACTAGTCGAAAGCAGCAGCTCTCAAATGTTTGGTATTTAATTCTGAAAAATTATTGAGGGCTTCACAGATCATCCTTGATGTATGTTCTATGTACAGACTTAGATCATATTAAAATTAAAACTGGGGGCCGGGGATTTAGCTCAGCGGTTTGGTGGCCTGCCTTGCAAACGCATGGACCCGAGTACAATCCCCAGTACCAAAAAATAAAAAATAAAAATTAAATTAAATTAAATTAAATTAAATCTGAACTTTAAAAATATATTTATTTCCTTAAAAAAATTAAAACAATATACAATTACGAAACTTCTTTCAGAAACAATGGTATGATGGCATTCTCCTCAGCATATAAAACTTATTTATCAAGTTTCAAGATCTTTACCCGGTAAAGCTTGGCATTCTTGTTGTCGTTGATCCCACTGGCAATTCAAGTTTAATGAACAGCTCTTACAGCTGGTAAGTTTATTGCAAATCTGCTCATTTCTCACATGACATTTTGTGTAATTTCTGACAGACTAGAAAGTTAAACAATAAAGCATGTTATTGTACAATCCACGGTTTTTAAATTTAGTGTATTTTTTGCATTACCTGCATTTAAACAAATCTCTAACTCCAAATCCAATTCTACTGAATGAGAATTTATCATATTTATTTCATTTGTTTGTTACATTTATGTTAAAGCTGCGTTTGTACATAGTGCACTACAATGTTAATATGGAAATAAATAGCTGCTCACTCATGTATCTTGTAATAGGTAAGAGTCTCAGCCAATCACAGGAGCCAAACACAGGCTGCCAACTGATCAGTCTACATCCATATGAGTCAAATGCCTCATCACACCATCCCCAAAAAGGCCAATTCCCAACTATGACCAACTGTGCTACTTATGTATATCAGTTGTACATTTTTTTCCCCTGTCTATAAATACTGCTTGGCCACGTTGTTTAAAGGAACTTTAAACCTCTAATGATTTTGGGTATTGTCCAATGCATGAATTGTTTGCTTGGATAAATTCTGCTAAATTTCATTCGTCTAATTTTTTCTTTTAATTAAATTTTCTTAAAATCAGTGCTTATTGTAAAACTGCAAATTACAATATTTGAGGCAAAAATTATCTAATAAAAACTTTTTAGAACATCTGAAAACAAGCTAATTCAACAAAGTCAGTGCATGACATCATTTCCCTTAATGGAAGATGAGTTGATTCTAGTCTTCATTTAAAAAAAAAAAGTATTCAAGCCTTTGGAAATGAAGCAGAAATAGCTAAGACAAAATTGAAACAAATGCTTTATAAAAATACAATACAACCTGAAAAGATAAGCCATTTTTATAATAACTCAAACTAATTTTACTTCCACAATAATGGAAGTAAATTTACTTTATTTACTTATTTACTTCCTAAATAATGATTTTAATTAACTGATATTTCTCTTGTATCTATTGATCACATTTTCTTTTTAAGGCTAACAAAAATATCTGAAAAAGTTACCTTGTTAAAAATCTTACTATAAAGATACTATAAAGATACTTCTACTAATCCTGAAAAGGCAAAGGTCAAAACACATGAAACACACACACACACACACACACACACACACACACACACACACAAAATACAGAACTTTGATGGTAGTTACACATACTAAGTTCATATTATCATGAGAAGTGCCTTGTGAAAATCAGATAGTAAAATACTGGGCTCAACTACTCCTGTGAACTTATTTGTAAGAAAATAATATAAAAGTCTTAATGCTGCACCCTAATCCTCCGATCTTTTTTGTGTGGCTAGACTAGATATAAATTCTTCCTTACCTTAGAACTTCTTATATAAGAGAGACAGACATTTATTTTTCAGTCAAGAAGGCTAAAAATCTGAATTATAATACCTTTTCCACATATACAAATACTTATAAAAATATTATCCTTTTAATACTTGAAAAGTCACCCACCCAATATTTATTTATGAAGCATGAGCTTTCCTGTAGCCACTTCTATTCCAAAAGTATTAATTTTTAGAGCAAATTAAATATAAGATAGCAGATAAAAAGAAACCAAAGATAATTTTATCTTTAATCATAAAAATATACAAAATGATGCATTTTAATAAATTTCAAATTACTGTGTGACGCTTTTCCATGCACCATATTTTCACTGGGAACATATAAACTTTTGTATTGTTATTTTTTTCTCATTTATAACTTTCTTTTTCCACATAGCATACAAATCTTCACTATCTATATTATCATTAGCATACAGATTAAAACATTTGCTAGCTAACTGTAAAAAAATAAATTTACTTGGATTATTAAATAAATAAAATAACCCATAAAAATGACAAAGGAGGTACAAGATCCCAGGAATGAATGTAACTGTACTGTCTACCTAGAGTGCACCAATAAATTCAATTTAAAAGAAAAAAAAAAATGACAAAAGAATGACTAAGCATATACTGAAATAAAAGAAAGAATAAGTGTTTAATAACAGTCTTCAGAATAACAATGGTAACATTAGAATCATCATCCAAATAAATCTACTGCTTTTCATCAAGAACAATATGGTCATTTATCAATATTGAACAAGTACAACAGATTAAATTGTCACACACAAAGCCAAGTTAATCAGTGAGAGAAGAAAGCTGACCATTATCCTGAAACATAGCTAATTTTCGGACTGATAAACCAGATGTACATTAGTAAATAATTATGAAAGATAATCATTATTCTAATTGTCACTCATATTTACATGTAAATTTAAAATGCAAATCCATGAAAGGCAAACAAATTATTTGACCTATTACAACACAAATTATGCAACTTGTAGTTAATGTTGGTAAATAAAGAAATAAGATATCAAGGCATATAGTTTGGACTAAAATCCTGTAGACTTTTCTGTGTCTATTATCATTTGGTTTAATCAACAGACTTCCTAATAAAACTGTGTAAAAGATATATTTTACCAAATTCTAAATTATGAGTACCATCTGCTTGCTTAAACTATGTCTTCTAATTCATTCCTTGTTAACACATCATCAAGAATACAATATAAAGCAAAAGGACACATTTTGAAATGAATAATATCAACTATGTAAGACTTTTAGATATGTGTATTTTCACCTAGATATGTATATTTTATATGTATAAATGTCTACTATGGACTGAATGTTTATTTTACCAAAATGTACATGTTCAAACCTAACTTCCAATGTGATTATATTAGGAGGCAGGACTTTGCAGAAGTGATTTGGTCATAAGAGTACAAACCTCATACATAGGATTAGTGACCTATGAGGAGCAGAAGATATCCCTTCTGCCCATGGAAAAGCCACTAAGAAGTTACATTTTATGGACATAAATAAGATCCTCACCAAGCACTGAATGTTAGTGCCTAGATCGTGGATATCCCAGTCTCTAGAACTATAAGAAATAAATTTATATTCTTTATAAGCCACCTCATTTATGGTATTTTGTTCTAGCAGCCTGAATAGATGAAGACAGTGTTTAAACACAACTTAGAGCTCTTAAAAAAAGTTTGAAATAAAATTTTATAGAAATTTTAACTAATAATATTCTTCATTTAAATTATGTGAAGGTTAACTTTAAGTATCAATTTGACCAGCACAAGTAACCAGATATTTGGCTAAATATGATTCCTCATTTATGTCTGTGGCCATGTGTCCAGGTGAGATTAGTAAGTAAAGCAGAATGCCCTCACCAATGTGAGCCAATACTCTGAGGGTCAAAACAGAACAGAAATATAAAGAAAAAAGAATTTCTCCTGAGTGCTGAGCTGAAACAGTACTCTCTCCTACTCTTGGATAGAATTTATACCATTGATATTACTGCTTCACAGAACTTTATACTTGTACTGGGATTTACACCATCAGCTTTGTTGGATATTCAGTTTGCAGGTGGTAGGCATGAGACAGGAGATTAGGATGTGGCAGAGATGGCTGGGAAGTAGGTGTGACCTATTAATTACAAAATCCCAGGACACACACACACACAGAATAGTTCCAAAAACCTACAAGTAGACTTTTCATGAGAACTGTAGTGTTTTCAAAAGGACAGACTAGACCTGCTGTCAGCCTGAGGAGTGGGTGATACAAAAAGGATGGTCCACATTGAATTTTTACCACTGTGTTCCCTCTTGCATGTTGGCCCAGCTTCACAGTACAGGGTGTACTACTTCTTTTACCTGGCCCAAACTTGCTCTGCAGAGCCTGTTTCTCTTCCTACCTTTAATAAAAGTTTGCTACTACTTGTGCTTGTCTTGATCAGCTTTTCTCAGGACAGAAAGAACTAGAAACCACTGCCAGAAGAAGACTCCAGCACCCTAAAACGTACTAACATATCTAGCCAGCCAGACAGGAGAGCAGCTGTTTATAAAAAAATAAACACTTTTTATTTCTCTGTCTAAAATATAAAAATATATAGTCATAAAGTTTTTTTTTCTTTCCTTGTCTCTCTCCCCTAGGCTGAGGAACTCATGAAATTTTTCTCATCATGCCAGGAAATGCTTCCTGCTTTTCCTGCCATGTGTTAGTGTGTAGGAGAATGTATGGCCTCCGTATTTTTCTTCCTAAAAGGTATGCTTCAAGTTTATCATCCCTTTTCTTTCACTTTCCCATTTGTGGTCTCTGCATGAGTCTGAGCTGAATAACTAGGAAGCATGTTATTTTGCCTGTTAGTGTATGCCCTGTTTACTTTCTCAAAGTGCTATCTTAGTCAGGGATGCCATATTATTTCATCACCTGACTGGTTACCATCTTGTCATATGACTGGCCATTGATTGGGTCAACCACCACCATGTGTGTACCAATTTTATTTTCAACTGGCTTCATAGTCACTGGAAATTCTTAACCTTGTAGATAGAGGAGATAAGCCTCTGATTACAAGAAACTTATGAGCTTCCTCCCTCTTTTCTTTTGAATTGGCCTAGATCCCTTCCTTGTTTCTTCTCGTAAAATTCAGGTAATTCAGACATATGCCTGACAGCCTGAGCAGAACAAAAGAACAGCCAGTAAGTTTAACTCAAGTGATTGTAAGTATACAAAAGTAGAGAAGTCCTTGTTCTTAAAACTTTTTAAAGTTTTTTTTTTTTTAAACAGGTACCAAATATTTTACTATTGGGATACATGTAAGGGGCATTTTTCCCAAGTAGCTCCACCCTTCTTAAACAGGGCCATCAAGAAAGTGGCTCAAAGTGGCTAAAGGAGTCCCAGTGAGGAGAGACTCCACCTGGATCTCATGCAAACTTTGAAGGGCTAGTAGGGCCATCAAGTGGCTCCACATCTTTCTCCTAAGGAGTTAGTGGGCCTCAATGTGGAAGCAAAAAGCCTGCAATAAGGCTTACATCTATGATTCTATGAAAGACATTGGCATCATTCCAGCTTCAGACAGAGATGTCTGTCTAGTAAATACATAAGTATCACAAGGGATGCTATATGGGCTCAAATTGGACCTCCTTGTGCATGGGATGCCATTTTAAGGACACAAGACCGAGTTGCCTCTCTATATATACCTCCAATATGAGCTATGAGAAACCTCATGACTCATGCCCTACAGATTTCACCAAGCTCACCACTAGACCATATCCTTGATCGGTAGGAAGGGTTTGACCCTAGCAATTTTAGGAAGAAAGCTCTTATCTATTATTGCAATATAGTTTGGGTTCAATATGAACTAGGAAATAGCAATTGATGGGTATGGGATGGCAGTTTAAACTATTTTGCAGTTAAATAGTTTCTAGTTAAAACACAGCTGGTGGAGTAAAATCTTTTCTGTTCAGGTTTTTGTGATCTTTTAACTAAGGAAAAGCCCACTAATACTATGGTATTATTTAGAGTACTCCCCCAAGGGAAGAGAGATATCTGTGATGATTCTGTCCTCAGATCCCCTCTTGTCTCTCAAGGGGATGTGGGTCTCTCCAATCTGTTTAATGAAGACAACCAATCTGAGGGGTCTCCTTTATCTCCTTATTATCCTCAGGCCAGTAAATCAGTCTCATACCCTTTCAAGTGACTCAGGAACTCTGCTAGAGCCTAGAATCCCAGAGGAAATCAACATTCCTCAGCCCCCTCAACATGCTTTGCAGTCCCACTGGTTGTACCCAAAGTGGTGTTCCCTGAATCACAACATGACCTGCCTCTGAGTGGGGTCCCAGAAGCAGAGAACTCAGAGTTCAGGTGCCCTTCTCAGTTGCAGATATCCAGCAATACAAAGAACAGCTAGGCTGTCAATAGGATCCTAGTAAGTTTTCAGATTGGTTTCAAACTTTGATCCTCATTTTTAACTTATCATGCTGAGATGTCCAATTCATCTTAGCTATTTGCTTATATCCTAGATGAAAGACAAAGAATTCTACAAGAGGCCAAGAAACATGCAAATAAAAAGTAAGCTTTAAGAATAGAAGAAAAAATACCCTGGACAGGTATCTGTCCAGGTATCTGAAGGTATCTCCCTTCAACAGAACCAAACTTGAACTACAAACAGACCACCTTCCAGGGAGGGAGAGACACAGATAACATGTCATTTCATTTGTCAATCAACCCCAGATATTCGACACAAATTACACAAACTTTATATAAGTTCACAGACACCTATGACCCAACTGCTAAACCTGGCCTTCTCTGTGCTCATCAGTCGGGATCCAGGGAAGGGATAAAAGACAGAGGTTAAAATTACAGCTGTCACAATTGGAAATGCTTTAAATTCACTCAAATCATCTAGGGTGAAACCCAAAGATAACCAAGGAAAGTGTTTCAAGTGTAAGGTGTCTGGACACTGGGCATGCAACTGCACCAAGCCTCTGCCTGGGCCCTGCTCTGAGTGTGAGATTGTCAATGTGTCTGGCTCATGCCACTGGATGTCTGACTGTCCTCACTCCAGGAGAGGGGCTAGGCCAGCCAAAAACCTTCATGTCCTGCTCTGAAGATTGGGAGGCCCAAGAGTACCTACAATGCCCCTGTCCAAGGATATAACCATTCCTTGTGAGGAACCCTCGGTAATGTTAGACGTCATGGGTGAGCAAAATATTTATTGATACTGGAGCACCTCATTCTGTTTTGACTTCCTTCTCTATAAAACTGTCCTCTAGATCTAAAATCATAATAGGGTCAAAGGGGCCCCTAGTTAGAAACTTGTTACTCCTGCTCTGATGTGTCACTTTGAAGGCCAAATGTTTCACCAGGAGTTTCTAAATGTCCCACAGCATCCTACTACCTTGCTAGGAAGAGACTGAATAGCAAATTTGAGCAGCAGAAATGACCAATTTGAGGAGACAGTGTCAGAACTACAAAATTAGGTTGATGCCGATCACGTACTCAGAAATACCTTAGAAACAAGAGACCATGAAAACTGAATACAACAGCTTCTAAATGATAAAAAAAGAACCTAAAAAGATGAGAGTTAAAGAAAGATGAGTAGACAAATAAAAAAGATATAAAAAGTTATTTACCAAAATCATAGCAGAAGACGTTCAAGTTTAGAAAAAGAATTTACCTGCCAGATGAAGGAGGTATATTGAACCTCAAATACCTTGATCAAAAAGAACTTCTTCACTACAAATCAATAATAGAAATCAGAATACACAGAATAATAGATTTTGTGAAACATTTTTCAAAATTGGAGAAATACTTTCTATGGTAACAAGCACCTTAAGAAATTCATGACCACCAAACAAGCACTATAAATGTACTCAAAGAAATCCTAGACAAAGACAGTGAGGACAGCACCCCAAAAAGCCCAAAGGAAAGAATATATCAAGCACATTGAGCAGTTAAGCAAAAGGGAATCAGTCAATACCTGTCAGTAATAACTCTTGATTTAAATGGTCTTAATTCACCAATCAAAAGAAACAGACTGGTAGATTGAATCAAAACACAAAACCCAAGCTGGGTATTTGGCACAGTGGTTCTACCACCTGCCTCGCAAGCATAAGAGCCCAAATTTGATCCCCTGTACAAAACACACAAAAAAGCACAAAACCCAACTGTATTTTGCATACGAGACACACCTTTTCCATAAAAAAATTGATTGAAAGTCAAAGAATGGAAAATGATATTCCATGCAACAGGAGCCCCAAAGCAAGGAGTGTCTACCCTATTTTCAAAGGGGACTTCAAGCCAAATTTAATCAGAAGAGATACTAACGATCACTACATAGTATAAGGCAAATGATTCAAAAGAAAGAATTAACTTGTAAATATTAATTCACTGAATGGTAGCACACTCAATTTCATAAAATAATACCATTGTACATAAAAGATCAACTAAACATCAATACAATTATAGTGAGGACTGCAATACTGCAATAACATCAACTAATAAAAAAAATCAACACAAATATCACAGTTGAAACATATCTTAGAATAAATGGACTTAAAAATATCTAGAGTATTCTACTCAGCAACATGTAAAATTTTCTCTGAAATGACCACATTAAGCCACAAAATATATTCAAATAAATATGAAGGAATATAAATAATTTCATGTGTATTATCAAATCACTGAATCATTTCCTAGATATTTTTTAAATGTCTTAATGTATAAAGTACGTGCTTTTTGTGGATAGTGCTATTTAATGGTAACATTGTGATGTAAATAGCAGTGTTTATACCACTATCTGCTCATAAATACTAACCATGCTGCAGTTGCTATTTGCAGAAATACACTTCTTGTCCTCACACCACTGGCACCCGTTTGTATTGGCTGTACAGCTAGCACAATCTGCGTACCTGTGACATCTGTCATCAGAAATAGCTATAATACAAATTGGGGAGATAAAACATATTAGAACATAAGAGAAACTGTCACCTTTTTAATATACACATTTACAATATCTAAAGATCACTAAGATATTTTAACCAAAAAAAATAGCCTTTAATATCAAAATAAGTTCTTCAACCTGAAAGCAACTATTTAGTTTGTGTTTATAGGTTTTTAAACTCCCATACTCATTTAAATTGTTCAGTCTACTGGGATCCTACAACCATTTTAAACTTACACATTTTGGAAGAGAAAAATATTTACAACTATTTTATTGAATAAAATGAATTATATACCCAAAACATCATTATAAATATTTAATCTTTTATTCTTCTTTGTAAAACTATTTAGAGAAATCTGAGTTAATATAGATAAGTGAAACTTGAAAGTATCTTTAGTTGTAGTATCAAAAGTGTATAAAAGACCTTACCCAGTTAAAGCAAACTGAACAATTTTATCCAAATCATAAATAAAAACAAATGGCATTGACTAATAATTTTTATGTCTGATTTATTCAACATTTTATGAGAAGTATAGTAAAACAATGATCATCAAATTCTAGAAAATTTCTTAACTTTATGGTATGGTTTGGCAATAATTCAGGATGAAGAATAAATACTTTCATATTATTTCTTTGAAGTACACAATATTTCTTAATGATGTATTTAAAAGTATTTTAGCTTATGTGACAAAACAATTCATGTATAGGAAGTTACATATATTTCAAAAATAAAACCATAAATAGCCAGCAAAGGTCATTAAATTACTAATCACTGTTAAATTCAAACATTAAATTTCAAATTAGAGGATTATGAATTTTTCATTTCTGTAAGCCATTAAGGTAATTTCAAAGAGCAAAATGTATTTCTACTTCTAATCAAATAGAGAAACTTTGATGACAGAAAGGAAGGGAAAAAAAGGGCCTTACCTGTTCTGGGAGGGCACTTTGCTCTAAGAATATTATTTGTATTTCCAGATTCCCAAGATTCACAATGACTTTTATTCCAAACACATTTTATCCCTGGACCAGCATTTTTACAAAATTCTTCATCTCTGAAAGCCTTGCAATTTGGAGGCTTGTATACTAGTATATCATTAAGGAGTACACTAGAAAATCCCCCAAATATATACATGGACCTATTAAAAACAAAACAAAAATCTTCAAGAAAGAACACTAAATATTTCTAACAAATTCACTTTTAAAAATAAAGCAAATTAAATATATGTTTTACATTATTTTTAAATACTTTATATCAGAGCTGTTCTTTAAAATCAGATTTCTAACATGAAAATCATAGATGAACTATTAAAATATTTCAAAAGCCTTTCTAAACGAAAGCTGAAATATTCCATAAAAATTAATGTACTAAGGAAAATACATAGGATTTAGAAGTTAGATATAAAAAGACTAAAAGTAGGTACTGGGGATTTAGCTCAGTGGTTCTGCTGCCTGCCTTACAAGAACAAGGTCCCAAGTTCAATCCCCAGTACCAAAAAATAAATAAATAAATAAATTTCAATACTAAAGTAATTAATACTAACCAGTGCCAAATTAAGTTTGACATGCCCATAAAAAGCATAATTTGTACTACTAAAAATATTAACATAATTATTGGAAGTAGAAAAAATATTTCAAGAGCTTTCATTAACAAACACACGAAATAAAAATCAACCAAACACAATTTTAAACAGAGAAGCCTACAGGTTTTATGTTTGACATTTCATTTCATTCATTATTATTTTGAAAGTCAATTGCTACCAATTATACAGTTCTATTATGGCTATCAAGTCACTGTATGGCAATAATTTTTATATCAACAGGACAAAGTAATAATAGAATAAAATTAAAAATATCATTCTGAATTCTACATTTCAAATTAAAGAATAAAGCTGCAAACTGTGTAGTGCCTCTTTAGTCCAAATTACCAAATTTTTGTTATTAAAATGAAAATTATATTAATGTAAAGGGCAAAGGTAATTTAATCATCATGCAGTCCATTTGCCAATGGACATAAAGATAGAAAGTATAAGGAGGTTAAGAGATTTGTCAAAAAATCATGCATTTTTTTCATGACCAAAGTAAAATAAAAATGCAATTCTTTTTTATCTTTTCAAGAGAAATAAGGGCTAGCCACTCTAGCACTTTCAGTAGACCTTTTCATAGGTAGAGTCATTATTTTTTCTGACCTCTGAAAAAAAGATATCACAATGATTTTAAAGAAAAAGTTTCCTAACTACTCCCCTATCTCCAAATATATTTAAAACAAAAAAGATACAATGATATAGCTAACAAACTAAAATGTATTCTATGACACAGTAGGGATAAAGTCCAATGTCATTAAGTAGCAATGATGATTGTCAAAAAGTATATCAAAATCAACAAACATAAGAAGGACTGATATTCTTGACCCTCTAAAAATTTTAAATGTGCTTCTTTTACCCATTAATGACTACTGCAGAATGTCCAAATCTGTTGACATCTCTATGAAGATTTGGTTTAGGTAATATTTTCCATTCATCACAAGCTAGAATAAAGAAAACAGAGAAACAAAAGAATGACATAAAAGAATATATTAAAACAAATAATAAAAATAATCATTGGCAAATTATACATACAATAATTAAAATCAAGACAAAACAAAAAAATGCTTTATTGATTTTCTATGACCTACAACTTATTTGTTTTTTGTTTGTTTCTTTGTTTGTTTTTTGAGACAGGGTCTCACTATGTAGTTGAGACTGACCTGTAACTCACTATGTAGCCCAGGCTGGTCTCGAACTCAGAGCGATCCTCCTGCCTCGGCCTCCTGTGTGCTGGAATTACAGGCATGGGCCACCATGCCTGGTTTATGACCTACAATTTAGAATCATTATGCAACTGGCATTATTCTTTCTTTCTTTCTTTCTTTCTTTCTTTCTTTTTTTTTTTTAAGATCTGGAATCAAACTCAGGACCTCGTGCTTGCAAGGCAGGCAACAGCATCACTGAGCTACATACACAGGCCTCATTATGCCTTAAATAAAAGTAACGACTAAAATTCTCACAAGTAATTTGAAGTATATGAAAATAAAAAATGAAAGGAGGCTGAGGATTTAGCTCAGTGGTTCCAGCGCCTGCCTCGCAAGCGCAAGGGCCTGAGTTCGATCCCCAGCACCAAAAAAAAAAAAAAAAGCAAAAAAGAAAGGAAGGAAATTAAGTGTATTTCATGTTGAAAGATCCTTCCATGGCATATCATTGTTAAACATGCTGAAGTTCATATAATAAAATTCAAGAATGCAAATATGAGGCACACTTATTATAAAGTTAAATATTACATCAAATATTGTACATGTATACAAAAGTAAATAATAGGGTCGGGGATTTAGCTCAGTGGTTCCACCGCCTGCCTGGCAAGTGCAAGGACCAGAGTTTGATCCCTAGTACCAAAAAAAAAAAAAAAAAAAAAAAAAGGAAATAATATATTTTCTATTCACTAAAAGAATGCCTGAAAATAGTCAGAATAAAATATTTAAATTACTTTAATATTTGAGGTTTTGAAAGAATAGTTTTTTATTTTATACAGAAGAGAACCACTTTGATAGCAGAAAACTAGAAAAAATAAAAATTTATCTGCTATATAAAAACTATGAGCCAGGTGTGGTGGCGCACGCCTGTAATCCCAGCACTTAGGAGGCTGAGGCAGGAGGATAGCTGTGAGTTCGAGACCAGCCTGGGCTACATAGTGAGTTCCAGGTCAGTCTCAACTACATAGTGAGATTCTGTCTCAAAAAACAAAAATAAATAAATAAATACTTTTAAAAACTATGGAAATGGGTGAAAAAAATACTTGTCATCTCAACAGAACATCAAAATTGACACATATACTAATAGATTTTAGAACTTCAAATAATTAGTATCCAACAATTATGAACATATTGTTTTAGATTTCATCTCCTTAGACATGTCATATTTAAAGGTAGGCTTTGCTATCTACTAAAAGCATATAGGTACAACAAGCTTTTCAAAACAATTTTATAGAAAGTATAGAACCCCTTATAGAACAAGAAAACAATCTAAAACAGAATTAGCTAAAAAAAAAAACAAAACAAAAACTTGTTTTCCTACCTACATGTTTATAACACAAGTAGTAAAATGATTTTAATTCAAGATTCATACTAAGGAAGATAAACAAAATTATACAAATCAAAATCATAGTTTATAAAATGAAAGTGTAAGACCGAGAACAATAAAACATATCCTGAATTCTATTTCCCACAGTGTATTACAAGGTACACAAATCCCTCCAAAAAGAATATTAGTTAATTTCAGTTTCTTCTCCCTCTCTCTCTCTCTCTCTCTCTCTCTCTCTCTCTAACACAAAGTGTACATATCACCTATTAACATTCTCAACAGTCAGTACTCTGAAGATCACATTTCAAGAAATACTATAACAAAGATCTATGCGTGAAAATAGTCGCCTATTGCATATGTTAGAGTGAATTTAAGAAATGTGCATTATATGTATGTAGTACTACAAAACTTTCAAAGTGCTTTCACGTACAGTACTCAACATGGACTTTATAAGAATCCAGTGAATATGGAGATACCTAAAAGAGCTTGGACTGGAGGTTCCATTTGACCCAGCCATCCCTGTGCTGGGTATCTTTCCAAGAGAACTAAAAGAATCATATCACAGAGAAGTATGTGCACCCATGTTTATAGCGGCACAGTTTGTAATAGCTAAATCTTGGAAACAGCCCAATTGCCCATCCGTTGGAAACTGGATAAATAAGATGTGGTTTTTCTATAAAATGGAATATTACTCAGTCATAAAGAATGAGAAAATAGATTCATTCATAGGAAAATGGATACATATTGAAGATATACTCCTAAGTGAAATAAATAAGGCACACATGTGTCAATACCGAATACTTTCCCTGGTGTAAATAATCTGCAATAATACATAAGATCCTAATAAGATTACTGACATTTAGAAATGGGAAGAAAAGAGCTAAAGGTGTAGGGAAGGTGGGATGGGTAGGGGAAGGGTAAAAAGGGAAAAGAAAAAAATGTGAGATAATGAAAAGATGAAAATAAAGTGTTTGTAGATCGGGAGGGGAGGAGGGGGTGAAGGGAGGGCAGGGGTAAGGGGAAAAAATGAGAATCAAGACTTGTCATGTAGAGGTACAAGATCCCAACAATGAATGTAACTGTACTGTATCCCTAAAATGTAACAATAAACTCCATTAAAGCTGAAAAAAAAAAAGAATCCAGTGAAGCTGATTCAGCAGCTATTATCCTGTGTTAGAAATGCAAATAAGACCTACCAGAAGTTAAGCAATTTGACTACCTTTGTTTTTCCATAACTTAAATTTATGTATTTGACATAATAAAAATCATTCCTTTGTTAAAAGGGGACATCCACAAAGGATACAGGTGTTGAAAAGGAAAGAGAGAAAAATGTTAAAGGCAGCTAAGGACTTAAGATAGATTTCAATAATTCCATCCAACCTCAACTCACATACATAAACACACACACACACACACACACACACACACACACACACTACATGGCAAATAATTTATAAATTGTATGTTTATTACATTATTTTCATAAAATTACAGAAAAGTGAATTAAATAAAACAGAAACTAGATGAAAGAACAGGACTACAGAAACCATCTTATTATAAATGTTTTCAAAGAGGAAGGATCTTCACGGTCAATTTAATACAACTGGAGTCCAGCAAAAACAGTGGCCCCAACTTGAATCTACCTAGAACTACAGCACAAATAATTCAACTGACAGTTAAAGAGAAAGAAACATGATTTTCAAAATGAACACTACAAATATGCTTTAAAAATTTAAGAAGTGAGTCAGGAAAGGGAACTGAGAGAATAAAAATAAGAATTAAAGTGGGCTACTTGAAAATTCCTTCTAATTCAAGAAGCCATTCTCTCTTGGAGAAACAAGAAATATTTACAGCACACAGACTAGTGCAAAGACTAGAGTTATCAATACCTGCTAGCCAGAATTATGAAGCCTAATATTTTACCATATTTTCAACAGACTTTTTAAAGACACAAAACTCTGCAGATATTATTGAAATTTGTGTGCATTTGCCCCAATTTGAGTTTCTTTTTTTTTTCCTTTGGAAGAAAACACTCTCCTATATTTGCTTTTAAATCTTTCTATTGACATGGTTTATAGTTCTTTTGTAAGTTACAAAACAATATAAGTGGTATATCACAAGCATCCTTTAATAATTTGCTTATTTTGATCAATTATCTGAGGGTTTTTTTTTACCATTTGAACCATATTTAAGTGCAAATTTACATTAACTTCCATGGGGTCAAATCCCAAAAAACTCATTATAAACTGAACTATAATTCAAAAATGCAATAAACACTACTATAAAGCAATACTGTGTACTGTAGAGTATGGGTGTCCAACATTTTGGCTTGCCTGGGCTGCAGTGAGTGATGAGAAACTGTCTTAGACCACATACAAAATATGTAAGGTAGTCAATGTACTGATGTATGTAAGTAACTAAATATCTTTTTTAATATTTTTATTATAACAAAAAAGAGGGCAACAATTTGACCCAGCCATCCCTCTGTTGGGTATCTTTCCAAAAGAATTTAAAAAATCATACCACAGTGATATATGCACACCCATGTTGATAGTGGCACAGTTTGTAATAGCTAAAACCATGGAAACAACCCATTTGCCCATCAGTTGGAAACTGGATAAAGATGTGGTTTTTCTATAAAATGGAATACTACTCAGCCATAAGGAATCAGAAAGTAGATTCATTCATAGGTAAATGGGAACATTTTGAAGATATACTCCTAAGTGAAATAAATAAGTCACACACATATGCAAATACCAAATAGTTTCTCTGGTGTGAAAAACTAAAATAGTACTCAAGATCCTAATGGGACAATTAGCAATGTGAAATAGGAAGAAAAGGACCAAAGGTGTAGGGACAGTGAGAAGGATAGGGAAAGGGGAATAAGGGAAAAGGGAAAAAATATGAGAAAATGTAAAATGGAATTAAAGTGTTTGAATGTGGGGAGGGGAAGTGGGGGTGAAGGGAGGGCAGGGACAAGGGGGAAAAATGAGAACCAAGACCTGGCATGTAAAGGTACAAGATCCCAGTAATGAATGTAACTCTACTTACTCTACATCTAGAATGTACCAATAAACTCAATTTAAAATTTTAAAAA